GTACCCCGCTGCCAAAGCACGATTTTCTAAGTCAGCTGAGAAAAGGCCTGCAATGGTCTGCAACAGTAAACACAGCAGATGCATCCAGATGCTAGAGAAAGAGATCAGAGAGTATCCATCAATTATTCAGGGCTAGTGTTTCACTTTGGTGCTCGGCAAAACGGTAACTCCACAGTCACCTCTGGAAGGCATCTTTTCTTCAGCATCACAGCTAAGTAGGGGCAGCACATGGGACCACTGTAGTACACCTGAGATGGCCCCGATCTGCGTTCTGAGCTCCCATCCATCTTCCAATCCGTCTTCCAAAGTGTTTGTGTTGGTTTAGGAAGGACCCATGACCCGAAGCTGTGTGAAGAATTTGCAGGTTCGTTGCAGCGTGATGGGTAGTAGGAGTCTTGCGCGTCTTAGCATACGTAATCCCATAACATCCTTCCTGATGGGTCAGCTCTAGTGAGAATAGAAACAGTCATAGCAATGTTAGCAGTCCTGTAACTACCACACTCCCTTAACCCCCCCCCCCCCCCCCCCCCCGCCCACCAGCTCCTCGCAGTTGTGGCTTGATGGGCAGGGGATGATAAGGGATTTGCAGAGAACAAGGCAGTTCCCAGGTAGAAAGAGAGCCTAGGCCTTCTGGCATTTCTGTCTTAAACCTTTGCCCCCTCTTCCTCAAGCCCTTCTGTGCTTGGTACTGTACAGTCTGTGACTTGGAGAATTTGAAGTTTCTGTATAGATGAGTCAGTAATTTAGATGCTCCAAAAAGGGGAGGAAGAGGTAACCATCATAGCTCTCCGTGCTAATTGTAGCAATTAATTAACTAACCTCGCTCTCCCAGCAGACAGTCAGCGTGGCGGAACGAGATCAGAAACTACCGGGGAAGCTACTGTGCACATTTTTCTGGTTGTTCTTGTTCCAAGGGAACTAGGGTGCGTGACTGTATTATGCTGACCTGAAAGTGTAGCTGGGGTCTGGATCCAAAGCCAGGGTGTATCTGGCTGGATCGTTAGCATCCCAGCTGGGAAAGTGCTACAGCACCAGCAAAGACATCTACTAAAGCTGTGATCACATGATGGATTACCTGCTGCTTCATGGGTTATCCCATGTCAGCTGAGCCACAGCAACTGAGCGTGAGTTTGCCTTTAACCTACGGGTTGTGGGGTAAAAATGCACTTGCTTTCATTGTACTTTGTACTGAAGCATACTTCTTCTCATTTGGGGCCAGCTAAGAAGGCACAGAGGTGTTTACTATAGCCTAGGTGGCAGGCAGTGAGTGACCTGTTCAAGTGTGACATCTTCTTGGCCTCGGTCATGTCACCGGTCCCTACAACACAAGGGCAGATCCAGATCTCCACTACCTTAATGTTATGTGAGATCAGAGGAAGTGGCCCAGCCATTAACTTGTGCGTGCTGTCAAAGGTCTTGACCATAATCGGTGGGAAAGTACTCGGAGCAGAAGCTCCCTAGGCTGAAAAGAGTGACTGTAGCATTTGCTTGTTGTGCAAGTTTCACCAGCTCCACTTGACAGGAGAAGAAAACAAAGGGTTTCAATTGCTTTCTAGTACAACTAGCAAGAAAACAGACAAACTGAAAGTGGCTACACACATCAAAATGTAATAAAAACTGCCCTGCGTGGCAGCAAACCCTCCACCCAGGCAGCCAGCAAAATACTGCATGAATGTCGCTTAGGCTCAGCTTTCGAAGGTGGCCTGCAAAGGAAAAGCAAAACAGGTTTGTGCCCTTTGATGCTTTTTTCTGTGGTGTATTTGCAGCTCAGTAGGAGATTGTAAATTTTCTGTTGCATGAGGCTTGTCTTTTACATTAGACATAGATGTCCTGTCTAGACTGGAAGACTCTAAGGATTGAGAGATCGGATGGAGTTTAGGGTAGTTCAGCACATTGCTACGTTTAGCTGGATTGCTATAATCGTTGGTCCTTGACAGAGTTACGCATCTTGTCCATCTGAAGAACCTCATTTCAATCTCCGGGAGACAAATTTAAGTGAAGTCACAGGTAGCATTGGCTACCCCAGCACTGCCAATGAGCAGTCACCCACCAGAGTCACTGGAGCTTCATTCGGTGCCCCAACTTAAAGATAATTAGAGGACAATGAAGCAGGGAGATCACATTTACCCAGAAAGGGGAAATTAAGTTCACTCTAAGCCGTTTACTCAGACTGCTGTAAAGCTCTTTGTTTCTGCTAACACCTATTTACTTTGATAACTAATTAACGTTTTGATAAAAAGGAGCCTTGCAGAATCTCATCTCCTCTGTAGGTTTGGGTAAGTTGACAGGACTCAAGGAAGGCAGACTTGCTTCTGGCTTCACCCGCAAAAGCCCAGACTGCACAGCACTGATTTTACAGTCAACTTGTCTACACACGCTTGCAATTTGCACTGGTTGCGCTTCAATCAGTTCAAACACAATACAGGCCTTGTTGACATGAGAATATTTGCCAGAGACTCTGTTTGCAAGAGTGGAGGGAAGCCAATCCTACAACGCTCTCTTTAATCCAAACCGTGGTGCTTTCTCCAGCCGATGGCCAAGAATGCGGCAAAAGGCAAAAACCCACCGAGATTTGCCCGCTCTTATCAGCTCAGGATTGGGGCCTAATCCAGGGTGGGAATTGGGCTCACTTTGCCCCCTTTCTGGACTAACGGTAGGTAGGTGTGTGCACGTGTACATGTGTGTGATAATAAACCCACATACATGTAAGGTGTGGCCTGGAGAAAGGCGTCGTCTTTGGTGTCCACTGGGTGGTGGCCCCTTCTTGCCATTGGCCTCTTGTCAGTGCTGGTGTTGCTTTGTGATGGCCAGTCACCCTAGTTTGTGTGAACATTGCTTATTGCTACATGCTCCGAGGGTTCCCAGGGCCCCTTAGCATGGACTGCTGAAGAAATACAAGCTTGTGATTATTTTGTTATATTTTTAACCATCTGTATTTTCCCTGCCCTAGTGGGCAGGCAGCCAGGTCTCAGCTGTGAACTTTATTTTCTCATATGCTTTGTTGGAGAAAAAAAATCCTGCTAAACATATTTCAT